CCCCCTCCCCCTTATCCCTTTCCCCGCGCTATGCCACCCCAGGCTGCCATAAAGTCTCTAAGGCTCGGGGTAGAGCCCGCAGAGTCGCGTAAGGCTCGTAATTCAAGTCGTAATTAAATGAAATTGGCACGTTTCAAACAGTAACTTAAAAGCAACGTAGCACCATTTTTGTCTTTAAACTGAGAAAAAAGTTTCTATGGAATATATGGAATTCAAATTGAAGTTGAATTAACATCAGTGCATGATCATTTCACAACTCAATCTAACAAGAAAAATCATTCAAAAACATGTCTGTCGCATTTTGACAGTGTTTTGTCTTCCCAATAGCAGAGCACACAAAGTTAGATAAAGGCATTACAAAAAGCAAGCACGTTAGTAACAGTTAGCAATTCATGCTTACCCCGTTGGCGTGATGTCTTCCCCAAAACAGACACATCCACAACATAACAACAAGGCATTTCCTGACGGCATTATGTTACAGATGAAACTTCACATATTTTACCGCTGCAGTTACATTAAAGCTGTTAATTCCCCAATTGTTAGTCATGATGCAAAATTTCACAATAAACTGGGATTAGTCTCACCAAGCAAGCAGGTTCCTTTCGATTCCAGGTCCTCCTACTAGACATGAAGCACTGCTGCAGGTCTGAGATCCCGAGCTGGCCTGAAAAGAAACCACATAAATACAGAACAAACATAATCTAACAGTGGATCAAAACTGAACTAATGATATTGCTAGATAGAATGAAACAGCACTGCTACGAATGTCCAAAAATACCGTGGCATGTGCAGCTTTGGATAATATGTGGACATGTGGATACAATACCTTATATTTACTGTTGACTAAATTAATTTAATACGTCAAGATTGTTTCCTAAGCACTCCCAGAATTTATTGGGAACTATGTAATCAAAACACAAAAAAAAAAATTGTAGCGTAAACTTTGTGTTACCAAACAGGCACACACTAATTATGAGAAACTATTTGGAATACACGATACTATAATACACATTATAGATGCATTCCAGTTAAATTAAAAAATTTAATACAACCCATAAACGATTCAAGCAAGAACAATTAGTTAGGTTATGTAAGATAACTATCAAACAAATTGAAAGGTTAGGTATGCAGCCTCCAGCACGGCTAAGGTCAAGAGCAAACCCGGAATATATCACAATTCTGAACGACCGATATGCATATTCTCAAGATGACAGCTCTAATAAATGCTGCAGCTAGCCCTCCTTGGTCTGAGGGCCTAAAGTCACACGGGGTAGAGCAAAAAATTTCCTTCCTATCCGGTAAACTAAGATGTCAACAGAGGCATGTATCTTCCGCGACTGGGAGATTTCTTGCAGCAAATTGTGGTTGGGAGTCAATGACCAAACTTACGGCAATTTCAAAGCAAGCATTTGCCATGGATACTTACTGCTGGGCAATTGTTCCAACTCAAATAGAAATTGGAGTGAATATTCGAGTAATTAAGCCCAATAGGAATCTCGGGCCGCCAGCCTGCAGCCTGCTACAAGGGCACTTCCTCTGACGTCATAGAACGGAAAAAACTGGTGTAAATTGCGCACCGAATTCGGACTCATTCAGAAATGTAGCCATAAATTTCGAGTACGTCCGCGACTAAGCCCTTAGCGAAACAAAAACGCGGTTCCCCCGCAAGAACTGAAGCATACAGTAAATGGGGCTGAAGCGACTCTGTTTACGTCTCATCGCGGTTTGATGTTTGATCGTTTGATGATGTCAGAGTGACATCACTGCGGATCTGGATGACCTTGGTCAACGTGCAGTTGATGGAACGGACACATTGCAAGTCAAAAAAACTGAAAAATCCATCAATACGGATAGGAAGGATTCCAAAATATTCGCCGCAAGTTGTGAGGGTCCCGAAAAGCGCTTTAGATACGTCCCGCCAAAAGATTTGCCCACCTGTTGCCCGGCGTACAGTCACGCTCTACAGTGTAGCGATATCTCGATGAATGGGCGCCACATTTGACTTCCATTCAATGGACTTGAATTCCACGTTTTCTTAGCTTTTTTAAGTTTACTTGTACGCACATGTGAGCACACAATATTACTGTGATAGGCAGCAAAAAGGCATTGAATGAAATAGTCAGAAATCACTATATAAAAAAAGATTTACTCCTTTCCTTCCTCTTATAAATACAATAGGATTGTTTCTTACACCGCAGGTCACAGGGTCAAACTTGCCATCTCAACAGAAAAAAAATGTCTACATGGAATTTTAATAGGCCATAGAATTTGTTTTGTGCAGAATCTTAAAGCCGGAATCAGAAGCTACTAAGATTTAACATTTTTTTTATAGTACAATGATTAGAGAAAAATGGCCTTAAAGTACGGTTTGACAAAAACAGACGAAAATATCAATGAACTTGATACATTAAAATGCATGATATCACATTGTTGTAACCACTACACTAGATTCCACACAACAATGCTCAGCACATCAGTTTATTGCTGCTTGCAGTCTCCCTGTTGGTTCTGGCCCTTTGCTAAAGCAGAGAGCTTCTTGGCAGCATCTTTGTTGGAGGCAGGGACATAATCTTCATCTTCCTCCTCTTCCTCTTCATCTTCCTCCTCCGAGTCATCTTCTTCAAAGTCTTCTTCACCCTCCAAAGCTTCACCTATAGAAATAAAATTAGTTAGAACTGTAATTTTAAATTATTTAGCAGAATGTGGTCAAAAGTCATACCTGTGAAGTACAAAACAGCACGGGGCACGATGCGTTCTCTGATGTAATGTCCAATCTCAAAATCAGATGTCAAGAGGGTTTGGGTGTCATCATCCAACTCAGCATCAGGGTCATCAGAGACTAAAATGAAAATAATTGAAGAAAATGAAGACAGATAAGCTAACATACTTAAAGATTTAAATGGACAATGACTTACTCATTGGTGGGTTGAAGAAATTAAAGAATGAATCATTCTGAACAGTTCTCGTTACTGTTCTAAGTGAACCATGAGACTTGTGCTTTTGAGTTTTCTTTATGGTTTTGACAGTGACATTTTTGCCTTTGTTCCAACCAATGACACAACCCTGAGAGACAGTATTTTAATATCAAAAAGTCATGTGATCAAAAAGTAATTTATGTAATGGGGTACTACCATACCTTGCATTTGTAGATCTCTGGGCCCTCAAAGCTGAAGGGGTCACTTTCATCAGGAGTACATTTCATTTCATACTCTTTAGTAAGAACTGAGTTGGAGAAGTATTCGTTAGGAGAAAAGTGGAATTCAAGAACAAAGCCCATAGGGTCCTTTTCAAGCAGAATTACCTGAAAAACAAAAGAGTATTAACATGTATTCAACATTCTATAGAATCACAGTTATAGTAGAGCTTACTTGAATATCAATAAGATGTTTCAAGATTGGTTCGTCATGTTCCTCAACCATTTCTGACAAAAGAGCAACATTTTTGAAAATGGTAAGCCAGAAGTCTGGAATGCCTGTGACATCCTTGTTTTTGTTGTTCCTAGCAAGTCAAAGAATGCATTTAGTCAAATTGTGGTTCTTTGGACAGTGCTATCATATATTGAAAGACTTACTCAGCTTCCTCCTTGGCCTTCTGATCTTTAGGAGGCATTAGGTCTTCAATCTTAACTTTGGCCTTAATTTCCGCACACAACTCATCATCTTTCTCGTCATCTGACATGCCTGCAATTTCTTCATCGGTAGGTTCGTGTAGCCCACAGATGACATTGGCACGCTGCAAAGAAAATTGACCATGAGCACAAGATACAACTTAGAAAATTTGAGGGTCTCGAATATTACACACCTTCATAAAAAGTGGCTGATAAAGCTTGTGGTACTTGCACTCAAGAGCATGGACCTCCTCATAGAACTTGGACTCGATGTTCGTTGCCTCCAGTTGGAATTTCTTAAGTGCCTTGATCCGGCGTTTAACTTGAGGGGGCATTGCCTAGAGCAGAAGGGTTTTTGATCAAATCTCAAAACATGTGACAAGCGATTAATAAACCAATGAAATTGATCACTTACATTTAACATTTCTTGTCTCAGCTGGCCTTGAATGGCAGCGAGCACATCAGCCTGACGGAGGACTTGCCGGGTGATATCATTGGAGTCGGCATTTTCGTCTTCAACATCTTCCATTGATTCCACATCGTCATTGGTGGCATCAGCGGCGCGGTCCTGTTCAGAAGACATGGTTGTGTGCGGACCTGTGGACAAGGTTTGACAGGTCAACTCAATGGAACACAAGTGACAAGCAACAGAGACCGGCGCGAGAGAGGAATTTGCAAAGAGACGCCGTCGCTTAGCGTAGCGACGGCAGCAGAATCAAACAAGAAACACTCTAGAGTATTTGGCGCCGAAACACGGTGGGACAAAGGAGCTGGGCCTGAGGCGCAATTTGGAGTGACAGCCCTGCCAGATTAGCTCGAGGGAGTAACGGGAGTCGCACAACCTTTCCAGACAGAAATCCACGCCAGGGCAACAGGCCTACAGCAAAACCAAACAAGGGCAGCCTCGGAAATGGTCTCTGCGGCTCCGAGCGAGGTAGGCCTTCCAAAGTGGTCAGACTAAGCCGAAGGCATGGGACAGCCGCTGCGCGCTGCGCACCGCGGCGCACATGTGGGGCCGGACGACGCACTTGAAGTCACCGTAAACTACTACGCCATTCCGAAACAACTGGGGGATTGTGTCAGCGGGTTTAATTTTTGCGGATTGCCACGAATTGGGTAAAACATCACGACCTTTTAATCGAGGTAGGGCAAATTATAACCGCAGTCTTACCGTAGGTTGTGGAGGGTGCACTGAGAAAAGATGGAGGAGTGGATACGTTCGCGGTGCGGCGTTTATGTATGGCATGGCTCCCCCTCCCCTTCCCCCCACGACAAGGCCCCTGACCCCTGACCATAGAGCAGTAGCAATAGCGAACCGTTATCTTTCTATCGAAGCACTGCCGGTGAAACCAGCCCGTAACGTTCCGAAGTATGCTGAGTGGGAGCCTCAGAAATCAAGACTGTTCAATATTTCTCTCACTAAAACCCAAGTAATGCAGTGCGTTCAAATCGGGAACTCAAATCACGGATGTATTTATGCACAGAAATGGTATTCAACCAGTATAAAAAAAGGAGCCTAACCTCCTTTCAGACCTGCTCGTACGGCGCGAAGCCGCGGCAGTTTAAACTGAGGGAGAGGCACATCTGCTTCTAGACGTTCTCATGGAGATATCTGGGGGAAAAGGTTAAAACTTTGCATATGATAGGCTGTTCTTAGTCTAAGACATCATTTTTCAATAGACTATTAATGATAAAGATTCGAGAGTAATTCAAAACTAATCAAAATTGCTGTTTTGTTGTGTCGTCTGCTCCCCACTCAGCAGCCACTCAGATTGGAAGTCGATGCCTCGATCCTTCGCCTATCGCTACTGCCCTATGCCCAAAGTATTGATTTTGATTATTGTCTGATATGCGTCTCTTCAATATTTCTGGTTTAAGTTGTATTTGACTATAGCCTGATATTTTAACACTTTTGCTCTTTACAAAATTTAGAACCCACACTTAAGTAATACCAAAACAGGAGGAAGTGACTTTTGACTTTATTATGGAACGGATCCCCAAACAAAACATCTGCAGAACGAAAAGGATTGCGTGCAGAGAAGGCTGGAAAATTTTTTAGCGTTCCGCACCGGCATCTTCTGTAAGCGTTGTTTGTATTGTAGCTGCGTCTTTCAAATTTGTGGCCACGAGTGGCTGTACAAATTTACTTTGCCTTGAGCAAACACCGGCGACCTCAAGACAACATGCCGGAGCTGGAAGTGGCAGGTAAGTGCCGGACCCGTTGCGACCCAGGTCGGAGCATCAAACTTCATGTCATTTCACTTTGTAACATTTGGGAATATTTTCCCTTGCAGAGCCTGTGGAGGCTGCTGCTCCTCCATGTGATGTAGGCTATGTGGGCTCCGATCCAACACAACCTGTCCAAAGAAAAGGAATTTTAACTTCTCTTACTGGCAAGTCTATGGAAATTCCTGAAAAAGATCTGGTACGTCAAACAATCTCTGAGCTTCAAGTACTACTCCTTTCTCTTTAACCTGGAAGTTTTTTTAATAGTTTGTTGTTTTGTTGCAGCTGGGACGCTGCAGATTTGTGACAGAATTTGAAAAACTCAATCGCATTGGAGAAGGAACCTATGGCATTGTTTGTGAGTGTTAGCCAGTGTTCAAAGTTCGTCGTTGTTGTCTTCAAAAATGTTAAAGTATTTTTTATCTTATTTGGTTGTAGATCGTGCCAGAGATACAGTTAATGACAGAGTCGTTGCTTTAAAAAAAGTGCGGATGGAAAACGAAAAGGATGGGCTACCTGTCAGTGGTGTCAGGGAAATTTCTGTTTTGTTGGCGTGCCAGCATGAAAATGTTGTACGATTGAAGGAAGTGGTTGTAGGAAAGAGTCTTGAAAGGTAAGTTCGCTTACTTTACACATTATTTGCCTGTAGTATTTCATTCACTTTATGAGAAAAAAAACTATAACTATCAATGTGATTCATTGTTCTAATTTCAGCATTTTTCTGGTAATGGAATACTGTGAACAAGACCTTGCTAGTCTCTTGGATCACATGCAAACTCCCTTCTCTGAATCACAAGTCAAATGTATAATGATGCAAGTATTCCGAGGCTTGCAATATCTACACAATAACTTCATTGTTCATCGTGACCTCAAAGTGTCTAACCTTCTAATGACTGATAAGGGTTGCGTTAAAATTGGTATGTCACTTGTTTACTTTTCGATTACAAATCCGTCCACCATATGCAAAGATTTTAATTTTCTGTCCAATTTTCAGCTGACTTTGGTTTGGCCAGGTGGTACAGTGTTCCCCATGGGGAGATGACTCAGAAAGTTGTTACACTCTGGTATCGAGCCCCAGAAATTCTACTTCAAGCATCCCACCAAACAACAGCAGTTGATATATGGGCAGCAGGATGCATCACTGGTGAACTCTTAGGTAAGGAAAGGTTGATTTTTCTGCATTATCACGTTTGAGACCAGTCTTACTTGTGAGACAGCTTATAATTTAGGTAGAATTAAACAGATGTGTAGCTTGTGTCTCTAGATCACTTGCTGCAAAACATGAACTGTTTTATTAAATTCTGTATGAATTGTATTAAGTTGTCTCTGTGCTCCAGGTCACAGGCCATTGCTTCCTGGACGCTCAGAAATTGGGCAGCTAGAACTGATTGTGGATCTTCTTGGTACACCTTCTGACACCATTTGGCCCGAGTTTTCATCCTTGCCTGCTGTCCAAAATTTCACTCTTCGGCAGCAGCCCTACAACAATTTGAAACAGAGATTCCCCTGGTTGTCATCCAGTGGGCTCCGTCTGTTGAACTTCTTACTCATGTATGACCCTAAAAAGAGAGCGACAGCAGAAGAGTGTTTGGAAAGCTCCTACTTCAAAGAAGCTCCTCTTCGTAAGTTTTGTTAAGAGCTATTTATTTTTAATGGGTCTGGGTTTTTGCTCAATGGCAAATTATAAATTTAAATTTTATTATCACAGCTTGTGAAGCCAAAATGATGCCAACATTCCCTCAGCACCGCAATCTGAAGCATAAGGCCCTACCACCTAACTCAAATGAAGAACCTGCTTCATCTCTGACTAATAATTTGCCTATCTCTGATCTTGTAAGTTCTGGAAGTGTTCTTTCTTGTCTCCACTATTTCTGACATTCCTAACTATGTACGTATGAAAATCTATAATTTTAAAATCTAATCTATTACTTGTTTTTGTTCAAAGCTGGGGTCTTTGGTCAAGAAAAGAAGAGTCGAATGATATTCACTTCCGGCAGCTTTCCCTGAGAGGAGCCCTGCAGCTGACAACAAAGGGAAGGCTTTGCCGACTGCCTTTAAAGTCAGTCAGAGGAATTTGGTACTTCGATTCATGCAGAGAGATATAGAAGAGGGTGAAATTGTCAGTGATAAAGAAGACTGTGAAATAAGCAGTAGTGATGAGGTAATAACAATATAACCCTTGACTGTGTTTTACCTATATCCTTTTGTGTGCTGCCTTTGGGGCTTCATTATCTCAAGTTAAAATTAAGTTACATTTCTATAGTAATGTAATAAGGAAAGATTTAAAAAATATATCCCAGACAGTTCTCAAAATTATGTTCACACTTACACATATTACATATTTAAAATACTTGTAAAGAAATTATTGTAATCTTTCTATTGGTAAATCACCTTGATTATGTACCAAATGGCTGTAATTTGCTGAGCTGCAATTCAGTTTAAATCAATGTCATGATTTTAATGTGAAGAACTAGTAATTCAAACATTGCATATAGCTACGTTATGTTAAATGTGTACTGCTGCGTACGTTTGTGTTTACATTTTCCTCGTGTCTTACAATTAGGAAGTTTTCATGTCGGTATGATATGGGTTCAGCTCTCAAGTAACTGCCAATTTCTTTGCTTGACTAGGACCTCTTATTATTAGTTCATAGTAGTTTTATAATCATGACAAATAAATTTGAACGTCTATGGCTTGTAATTTTTAATACATCCTATCCAATTTATAAAGAAGCTTGTTACACACTGATATTAAACTATATTTGAAACTTTTCAATTTAACAAAAAATCACAGATATGGGCGGTCCATGGGAGTTTTCTTGGCTTCTCTCTTTCCAGGACGAGGGAACCACCTGTGCTTGGTGGTAAATGTCATTTTCATGAGTTGTTCACGAGCAAGCTCTTCCTTTAAAGCTTCTAAGTGGGAGACGTCAGACTTATCGTTCCCATTCAACGCACTTATGACCGATTGGTTGACCACTTCTTCTTTGGGTAATGGTGAAGTCAGTTCGTAAGGGACTTCAGGTTCGGGGTGCCAGCAGACCAGAGTTCTACCATCATCAGCGACAACCACCTTGAACAAAATGTAATCATCAGTGAGGCTATTTCACTATGAGCAAGTCTCAGTCAGCAGCGAGTCGTTCACACACTTCCTCACCTGAGTGTTTGATGAATAACATTTTGCTAGCGGTATACGATAACCTCCCCTTGTGAGCGACACTAATATGCTCCTCGAAAACATAGTACCGGGATGAAATGATAGCACTTGCGTGTATAAACTTGACCTTGGTTCGAACTTAAGTCAAAATTATCGTCAATTTCTTATTACTCAAGCAATTCCTACCCGTAGCAGAATGAAATAAATAAATGTTCAAACAAACAAATGGTGTCTGACTACCACTGAATTTCTCATACCGTACTTAGTGTGGGTAAACTATCGAAACACTTTCGATTCGCGGATGCCGGGCTATTTGTTGTTTGATAGACTATTTTGACCGAATTTGTAAAACTTTAGTATATTTGTATTTCTCTCTAATCTTTTGCCTACCTGTATTTTCTGCCAATTCTCAGGTAAATGGGTTTTATGCTTTACTCACATTGATTCGCAGTTTTAACCCGCTCTTTGCACTCCCTAACCTCTGAGCACCTTTATGACTGTCAAACAAAACTATGAATCTGTTTTGCTTTGAGACATAAAATATGCTCCATATTCGCCTTCGCCAGTCATTATTTTTAAAAGTCTCACCTCATGTGTTTTTATTTTAATATCAACAATCGCCTAGACTTTTAATTTACATCATTTCTCTCTCACTAAGAGTAGCAATTGATATGTAATCGTTTTCCTTCCCAGGATAAAATGTCGACTGCTCCACCAAGCCGCAAGGAGGCTCTAACTTCTTTTATTCAACAGATCCATGGTCGCCCTGTTGTGGTGAAGTTGAACAGCGGTGTGGACTACCGAGGTATGTATCGATGATGCTCTCTACATTTCATTATGCTCGGAAATCTGAAAACTGAGATGGTCATGATAAAAACCATATTGGTCTTTTGTTTTAGGTGTTTTAGCTTGCCTTGATGGTTACATGAACATAGCTCTAGAACAAACAGAAGAATATGTCAATGGTCAACTTAAGAATAAGTATGGAGATGCCTTCATTCGAGGCAATAATGTTTTATACATTAGTACTCAGAAGCGGAAGCTGTAAATATGCTAAATCTTACTTCTAAGCTGTTTTTTTTTTTCTTTGATTTAAATGTTTAAGATTGTACCAGTAAAATTAAAATGTTTTTGTTCACATTAGTCATGTTACCAAACATACTAATACTTCACCAGATGTATTATCTTTTTTCATAAACAATAAAAGCTCCTCACTATAAAAGGATTTGTAACTTTCTTCTCACATTTCTTAAGAGGGACTTATCAAACTGTGAAAGTAACTGGCGCCTTCAAAAATTTCTCTTGATGAAAGTTGTGGCTTTCGTAATGAGGATGACCCCTTGGGGTCGACTGATGAGCTATCAAGAAAGTTGTTTGTTTTCATGAGATTCTAGCTTTCCCCAATCCTTTCTCTTCCAAGGTCATGGCACGGCCTGACGCATGCTCACACGAGCCGCGTGTGCAAAATGTTGCTAAGTGGAATGTGGCGGAAGGCATGCCGAGGTGCAAAACCAACGTGAGACGACTCTTCACTAAAGGACACCAAGGCCGGCGCCACCCGACATAAATTCAGCCAGTTCAGAAAGCGTCAACGGTCTCCGTGTAAATCTTATTTATAGAAAAAAGCAAAAAGAAACAAGACTAGAAAAGCCAGAGCGAGTGACGCAAGCGTCTGACCTGCTGATAAGCCACGACCACGACGGCCCGCCCCCGCGCTGCAAACAAATTATAAAGTGTTGAACCAGGGCTTTGGTAAAGACTCGTGAGCCAAGCCCGTCCATTCCGCTCCTCTCATCCGCACCAGACTGTCGAGAAAGAGATTCAGCATGAGCCAGCCGTCGCACTGCCCCACCATCAAGCTCAACGACGGCAGGAACTTCCCCGTCCTGGGCCTCGGCACCTGGAAGGTAAGTGAGACGGCAACACTACGAGTAAAAGTGCAGGGGGTAAAAGCTAAACGATTGACAATGTTGCAGTCAAAGCCTGGCGAAGTGGAACAAGCAGTCAAAGATGCGATTGATGCAGGATACAGGCACATTGACGGAGCTTTCTTTTACGACAATGAACCAGAAGTGGGGAAAGGAGTCAAGGCCAAGATTGCTGAAGGGGTAATAAGGAGGGAAGACATTTTCATTACAAGCAAGGTACATTACATAAGATATGCCCGCCCACAAGTACAGCTAAATTTCACTATGGTTCACAAATTATTAACGCTCCTCTGAGTGATTTACAGCTATGGAATACCTTCCATCGTCCAGACCTTGTGGTTGATGCATGCAGACAGTCTCTCAAGAACTTTGGCTTGGACTACTTGGACTTGTACCTGATCCATTGGCCAATGGCATATGAGGTCTGTAATATTTTTCTGTAGCAATTACGGCGATTATACTTGCTTGTAAATGGGTTGCATTACTAGATCAGTAATTTTTCAAATCCAAACACTCTTTAGGAGGGAGGTGAACTTTTTCCAACAAACCCAGACGGATCCGTCCGGTACAGTGATGTAGATTTCGTTGACACATGGAAAGAGATGGAAAAATGTGTTCAACTAGGATTAGTGAAAAGTATTGGAGTATCAAACTTTAACTCGAAACAACTGGATCGTTTGCTCAAGTCTTGTACAATAAGGCCTACAGTTAACCAGGTAAGACTTTAAAAAATATATGAACCTGCAGAAATGTTGATTTTTCTCTAGATAAAAGTGAAAAGAAAACTTGATCCCTTTCCATGAACAGGTTGAGTGCCATGCATACTTGAATCAAAGAAAGTTGATAGATTTCTGCAATGCTCGTAATATTATCATCACAGCATACAGTCCATTGGGTTCTCCAGACAGACCCTGGGCTAAACCAGGAGACCCAAACCTTCTTGAGGATCCAAAAGTCAAAAAAATTGCCCAAAAGTACTCAAAGAGTCCAGCTCAGGTTATTCTACGGTATCTAGTAAGGTTTCGTCCAACAAGGACCTAATTTTTATAGCAAATTATCAACTCACAAGAGGAGAAAAAAAGAAGAAGAAAAGGAACCCTCTAATCAACTTTTCTTTTCCTGTTGTATAGATTCAGAATGGGACTGTGCCCATCCCAAAATCAGTTAGCAAACAGCGCATTGTAGAAAACATACAAATCTTTGATTTTGAACTGACATCAGCTGATATGGATGTGATTGATACATTTGATTGCAATGGGCGATTGATTCCCCAGTTAGAGTAAGTAACATATAACAACAACAGTCAGTTTTAGAGATGGACGAAAAGTTACTGATTTAATACTTGTTTCACTTTTTTGTTTACAGCGGCAAAGACCATCCAGAATACCCTTTTAACATCGACTTTTAAAAAAAATATCCAATAACCTATTTCTAAAAGTCATCAAAATGAAATATTACCTCTGGCTTGGTACATATTGTTACTAAAAACAAAAAAACATAAAAAAACACTTAAATTTTGACAAAATACTTCATACTTCAAAAATCAATAAATAAAATTCGTAAGTTCATCTTGTGGTGTTTTATTTCTGTAAGATAACATTCTGCAATAAGTAAAAACTATTGCAGACACACCATATACAAAACACTCAAAACAGGAAGGCATTGCTATCATTAACGTACAAGGTTAACAAATTCAGACTTATCTGGAACTCACACAAGTGTAAGAACATAGAACAGCTGAAGACGGATTGCAGCCATTCAAAAACTGACAATCTTCTAGCTCAGAATGATAACATCCTCCTTCAACAATTTTAATATATCTTTTGTGAAAGTAGCTTTCTGCACTTTCCTTCTTTCCCTATTAAATTAAAGTCAACAGATGAGATTTAGATAAAACTACAGACATGTGACACATACTGACTAGGAATAACACAGGACCAGAGGATAAAGAGCACAGCCTGAAAAGAAAGGGATCATTCAAACTGTTCCAGCCCATTCTGAAATACAAAACTAAAGTGGAGATGGGGGTGGGAGGGTAGGAGACAGGAGGTAAGTAAAATATGAGGTGTCACTTACAATGCCATTACACATAATGTGAGGAAGTAGAACAGTTTGAGCAAGTCTTATCAACTTAACACTCATTTTAAAAAGACATATTTTCTTAAATAAGGCGTAAGTGTTCACTTTTCCAGCTGTAAAGAGAAATACTTCTTGACCAAAGACAATTTAATGGATTCCATAAGAAGCAAAGAAGGTCATTATGCCCAACATAGGCCCATTTTCTAGAGCAAATATGCATTACATAGTACCCTTTATGCAATCGGACTACTTCACATTATTTTAAAAGATGCAACCTTTTCAAAACAGTCCAATAATAAAATAAGTGAAAGCTTTAACTTAGTGTCAACAAGATTTTAAAAGAAGCTTCCAGACAACATACACTAAATTTGGAAAAAAAATAGTAGCAGATTGAACTAATCCATCATCAAGTTCTCATTTATAGCAAAATATTTTCAGCCTTATCCAAAAACTTTAAAATTGAAAATGAAAAGAAGTGTAGTCAACACACTCACACAAACCAAATGTACACACAAGCAGACATGCACCCACACTCCCATTTATAATCTTAAACACAGTAAGATTTTGGTCAACAGAAACTCAACAAAACTTGAATGTATAAAGGAAACTAGGTATTAAATATTTGCAAAACTGTCCACGTATTCTGCTAAAACAACAAAATACCCTAGAATGAATGACAACAGACAATACAAGAACAAAGTAAACACATAGGTACTTCCATAATAAAAATATTAGGCACTATACTATTTACAATTTATTTGATAATGCTATTTGCACTTTAAGCTCAAATTCACAGGTATCTTTTCAGAATCCTTAATGTTAAATTGAATTATAAATCAAGTGAGTTTAACTAACCTCTATGTTTGAGTTAAATATTCTATAAACATACTCACATGAAGTGTATACTAGGCCTATCACATTGAGAAATAGTATATAAAATCAAATAAACTAGTCAAAACCCTGCCAATCAGATGTTTCTCCTTCATCCTCTAACTCAAATCCAATACTGTGAATGCCATTTCGCAAAAGTGGAGTACCTTTCCCCTTCCCTGCAACAAATAAAGACAACAACAAAGTTTCAAAAAGGGACATAATTGAGATTTTACTGAAGTCAAGAATTCTTACCGAGAATACTTACCCAAAACTCTTGCATGGAATGTTAACTTGAGGTTGATATTGTGATTTTCATCTGTGGAGAATAAAAAAAGATCTTCTCTCATAAGTTTCTCTTTGTGGGCAAAGTATTCCACTTTCAATTGCCAGCGCCCATCATCACATTGATTCATGGCGAGAAGATGACAGTTAGGATTGAAATATTGGGAAAGACTTGCTTCACCTGGTGAAGGGCTTAGGAGTGGACCACAGGGGCACATTTCAGTCGTGAGATATACACTTATATGGTAACGGTGACCCATTTGTAAAAATCCCAAGTGAACGGCAAGGTTGTCATTCCCAACTTTCTGGATAATAACATTATTGTCTTTGGATGTAACAAGAGCTTCATCTCCGAATCTGACATGGTGATCTGCAAAATAAACAAAGAGTGGACATGAGAAAAACTTCTCCTCTACAAGCTCCCCAGAGTGACCAGTAACACTTTTATTGCCACGTGTATTCAAAATGATTCACATACAAAAGATGGCATTCTGCATAATGATTATTATTATTACTGAGGAATACATCAATAAGCAATCTTCACACAGAAAAGTAAGGAATATCGACACATAAAGAAAAACTGAATTAATATGGGTACGAAAGACCAGAAAAAGACGATAATCTTTAATTAATAACTTGAACTTGAAAACTTTGAAAATTATTCACACCAAGAAAAAACTACACAACGACGAGGGTCCCTAGTGCTAAGATAGGTATAAATTAAATTAACTAGAGATTGAATTGTTTGGTTGACTTGTGGTAATTAATCTTAGAGAAAAATTAAAAACAAAGTGACAGTTGGTGAACGAAGTTTAGGTTATAAACCTACCAGGTTTCATTCCCATTTGTTGAAACACCGCACTAAGCTCCGCCTCCGATGACAATTTAGCATTACTGTTTTTCTTTGTGGCCCACATAAAATAAAACCGAAATAACACTAGCGCTTGGAAATATTAAGAACATATAAGAACTACGCAAACCTGCTTGCGTTATGATGATAACTTTTACCTCCCCTACCTTTCTTGGGGTGGGGGGTGGGGGTGAGAACGCATTCACATTCAAATTTGAAATGCAGAAGAATGCGGGGAACAAGAAAACGGAAGTCACCTTGTCACAGCTTAGTGATTTCCGCTTTGTTCCCCGCATTCTTATTTCAAATCAGGATAATAGGAATAGGACTAGTAGTAGAGTAGCTTCGAACTTGAAAAAAGGCCCTTTCTCAAGCTTCGAAGCAGATCAGAATCAGCGTTTCCCAGCGATTTGAACGATATATAAATGCCTTGCCTATCATTGGGAAAATTAGGAAAATTACGGGAGTTCGGCACCTCCGATACTTGGGGTAGTCCACTCCGCAGTACACGCATGCACACAGGCAGGATGTTGCATATCTATCACACATTGCATTGGCTGAAATTGGCAATTTCGTAACGGCAAATGATGGACGCACTTTCTGAATGATCTAACTACAACTCGGGTGATAATAGTTAAACGAGTTTATTCCTTAACACTAAAAAATTAATCTGTGTTCAAAGAGCCAGCAGCACCAAACTCGTCTACCACGACTACCTCACCCACAGAATGGTCTCGAGAACATCACCCCCGCGAGAAACTAAAACCAGTGCGATGTCAAAATATTAGATATCAGAAATGTGTGGATATCAGGATCACCCAAGAAAGAACCTGTGTGTTCAACGTTGAACAACACTGGTGTGATTTCATTAAAAATATCCCACCCAACTGCCAAGTGAGCAATGAAATGTCAGACTGATGTCAAAACGATATCAGTTATCAGAAACGTGTCAATTTCAGGACCACATTTTAATCAATCTGATGCGAATACCAACAAATTTCTGATGTCTGACGTCGTTTCACTATCCGTCTGATATTGCATTGCACACTAGGTGAGGCTGTGACTTCTAACTTATTGGTTCTTAGTGGTTCAAAGTGATTATTATGTAGCATTCAACTAAAACAAACTGAATTAAAAGACAATTTTAAAAGAATTAGCTTTCTTGAGTTTTATTGTATGAACACAAATGACAAATTTGTATATTCATACTTTATCACATGACTAGCTATTACAAGAACTGACAAAATTTTCGGCCATACAGATATTGTGAAAAAGGAGGACAATATTACATTTACTCCTTGTCACATCTTTTCATCACAATAAGCTTATAACTTATTCAATAGTTCGTATCTTAAATCCTTACAATGAAAAAGATATTTTCTGATCACAGAAAATAAAGTTTTACCCAAAATTTATATCACATGATGTTACAAGATAACAAATCCTTGTATAAGAAAAATAAACTTCTCTTACTATGTTCACCATTTTATATTGTTAGTATTTTCTATACCAATGAACTTATAAAGCAACAATAGTTCAACATGATATTCTGTTCCAATCCAATTTACTAGAGGTAAGAAAGTGTGGACTGGCCAGCAGAAGTGAACAACTTGAAGAAGGTACAACAATGAAAAAGAGATGTCTAAAATCTACAAGAATAAAAAGTTAAATGCTGTTTCATTATCTACAAATTATTTACAAATTATTGAATTTTAGAAATGATCTTCTTCAAACACCTGGGTACAATATCACTGAGATGTGACTTTTAAGGAAATGTTTCTTTGAAATGAAGTACCTTTTGCATGTAACAGAAAGAAAATGAATGCATCACATACAGCAATGCATGGAATGCAAAAATAATAGCAAGGCAGTGTGGATATACAGGTAGAATTAATGCAATAGTTAGTACAATCTAGCAGAGTTCTTGAATGTCTTGTAGTGTAAAACATGTAAAACTGATTCAATTTTACAAAGTTAAAATCAATAATATCCTATTCAATTACATCAAGAGCTGTATATAAAAGGAAAATGTACACAAAACAACCCACAATGTTTCATTGCTCAAGAAGGCCTTCATAAACTTTTTAATTGTCTACCAGAACGGACACCTGTAAGAAGATACAGATTATGAGACATAGAACTTCAATCAAAATGTTCAGACACTTTCCTTGACAAAAACAAAGGCAATATATTTGAAAATGATAAATTTGTGATAACTACTTACCATCCAATGTAACACTGGCAAAGATTTTCATTTGAAGTGGCTTGTTTGATCAAAAGTTCTACTTGACGTTGTACTGTAACAGTTTCCTCTTCATGAGAAAAGTCACGACCTGTTAACTTTTCTCTCACTCGAGTGATAATAGCCAGTGCCTTTTTGTTTAATGCTTCTGGTTGGTTTGTCTCTGCAGCTGTAAAGTATATTAAAATTGATTATTAATTTTTCTTATCAAAAGAGAATTGAAAGAAATTTACTTAGTGATGAAGTGACGTTACCATTAATGTCTGTGTTTGTAAGAGCCTGCAAAGCTCTCTTTGGTAATGTTGTACTCAGAGAGGTAGGAGCTGCTCCAATACTTTCAGCTAAATCACCATGTTCTTGTGATGATGTTGAAGAGGGGACAGAATCAACATCAGGACCGCCCTTGATTTTCCTATTTGTCTGAGTTGTCTGGCCATCTATTAAACGCCAATTTAAAAGAGGGTCATACACAAATGCTTCAAGTACAGCCATTAAGCTATCTTTGTTTCTGTGAAGCACTGACATGACTGATTCACAAGTTCTACGATAAGTACCCTCAATGCCAGTTACCTCCATGGCATTTATCAGCATTCGGGTAAGGCGGAATGGAATTTTCTCTGGAAACTTTTCTCTTGTCATTGCAACTTCAAAACAATCACCAAAATCTATGTGAAGTATTTTACCACTTAAGCGGTCAAGCATGAGGTTCGATGGATGTCGGTCTCCAAGTCCCAGAATGTATCCAACCATTGACATGACAGCCAGAGACCTTGTGTAGTTAGTACGCCTATCAAACCATACTTCTGATGATGGTGACTTGAGCCATAAAAGGCGAGCTAAATCATCACCTTGTGTGTGTTCCAGGGCATGTTCAAACACTTCTACTTTCTGCATCAAAGTCAAATGTTCATAATCTTGAGCCATCCTCAGCATGATACGGTGTTCAATATTTAACAAAATCTTCTTTTTTTCGCGGAAATCGCGAATCAATGTATGCAGTGTGTCACAGTGTGGTACCCACCCAATAAGTCCAGAATTTGTTGACAGAGGGATAACAGCATACCTCTGAATAGTCAAATTTCTTCTGTAGGTTTCAGGATCATTGATAAGGATTGTATTAACTAAACCAAAAAGCTGCATTACTCTCTCATCTTGCCGTAAGTCTTCATGTCCTTTGAGAAGGAACATGTAATCATTACCATTACTACCTCTGATACATAATTTACGAGGACGTTGTTTGGAAGTTATGACATGCAAAGAGCTTTGTATGTGAGCAATACGAACTACAGGCTGCCCAGGAACATAGCTACCAGGAACAGCAAGTTCTAGGTCCCTGCTTACCAAAAGTTTTGGACTGACGTATTGCAGTTCCAGACTAGTTAGTTGGGGAAGCTGCCGGGATATGCGTCGGAAAACATGGTAGTACAGATCCCAAGCCTGATTCAAGTCACGAACATTTCCAGACACTTTGTAACGTTGACACCAGTCTTGTGCTTCCATGAGATCTCGAGAATATGCCTGATTAAATGACGTTTCCTTCAAAGTTTGTGGTCCTCGCTCCAGCATTGCATGAAGTGGATCCAATGCTTCAAACATTCCTTTCACATTTCGTTCTCCAAAGTACAGACGGCTTGCTTCCTCAAGGCCTTCATGCCAAAGCTCATGCCAAAGAATTGCAACTCTGATCAGTTCATCACTGACCATGACTGCTTGTTGTACCAGCGTCTGGCTGTGCTCACACATACTCTTGAGGATTTTATTGGCAGCAACACGGCGAGGAGTACTTGCAGACTTGCTTGCAACAGTTAGTGGATAAACTAAAGCTTGAGGATGATGTTTCCCTATGTCCATCAGAAGATGGTGGATGAGGCGTCCAACAAGAACCCTTGGTGTGTCAATACGAGCAATGAGCTGGGGAATAACTTGGAGCCAGGTATTTATTTGAACTGTGCGCAATCCCTCCACAATAGCATCATAAACTTCTGGCCACTGTCCATAGTCAAACCACAGTGTTAGCAACCGTAAAGTATCTTGAAGTGAACTGCCATGAGAGAGTGATATGGATCGGAAGAAGCCTACAACGGCTGGCACGGTAAATTTTGAAATGTAATTATTAGCAGTGGTAGAACCACTAGTGCTACCTGAAGGTGTTTCATTCTGCTTGTAAAAGAGCACAGTCTCAAAGTTGACATAGGCCCATGCGTGCCATGCCTTGTACCAATGTTGATCATGCTCACGGGCCAACTGATAGTACTTAAGGACATCAGGTATAGAGTGTTCACTCAAGCCCTGCAAAGTTTCCTGCCATTGCCCTAATTTCAAATAGCATCTAGCGAGGAGACGGCAGTGTTCATCACGTTTGTCACCTCCACCTTCGATTTCTGGCTGTAATGATGTGAGCACAAAATTATGCAATTTATTGTAAGCTTCCACTTGCTTTCCTGACATCCACATGTGCTTTGCAAAAGCAAATGTGACCTGAGGGCATACTGTAGGCAGCGGGTCATTTGGAGTATCATCAGGGTCTGTGCCCAAAAGCATTACCAATGTCTTTTTGGAAAGCATGAATCTGGATGATTTTCTACACAGTGATGCATACTTTAACCACGTATGCATATCTTCCTCTGGTGACACAACCAAAGAATGTACTTGAATGATCCTCTGCCAGTCTTCAACAACCCTTTGACAACCTTGCAGTCTCTCCCACCACATCTTACGAATAGTTTCTCGCCTATCACTATTGAGCTTATACTGAATAACTTCTTCCAACTCAGCAAGCATTTGAACAGATACCATGGCACCATAAGCACGCTGATAGCTTTCACCCGCCATAGCTGTAAGTTCCGTGTCGACAAGATCTCTCGCAGACTCAATGAGCTGCATGGCTGTGTCGTACTGCTCCCGGTGCACAGCAAGGACTGCTCTATAAAATGTGCCATCCTGGGTGTCTCGCGGAACGCAGTTGACGTAGCGGTCCATACTTTCCCAGTTACGGAGACCCCATGCTGCCGCACACGCCATGCGTGACATCCTTTGCCGAGCGTCTTCAGTTACTTTGGTCCAGTGACATTCTGCAAGGTCCTGCAGCTGGCCCCATTCGCCCAAGGCCTCCATGCACCTCATTTGGCCAAGGACTAAATCCAACTCGCTCGAGCTTTCAGCACTCCTTTCTTTATAGGAATGCAAGGCTTTCTCCCAGTTGTGAAGCTTTTCATACCATCTCTCTTGGACTTTAAATTCTTTTCCATGGTGACTCATAACATATTCAAGGAGACCTGCAGCAGCTTCTTTCTGTTGCAATTTGTTATTTATGGAGATGAGTGACTCAATAACCTGTGCATTAGGGCCAATATGAAATTCTTCTTCTTTGTAATGCAGAGCTTTGGCATAAGCTCGACAATGCATTGCCCTCTCTCCGAGCAAAGGAGGGTCAAGGGGCAGAGGTCCTTTGTCACAATGCTCCATGAATTCAGCCAAATTTAAAATTGTTTGAGTTATTTCAGGCAAGTCAGGAACCATGAGTGCTTGTTGCAAAGCCTGAATAAGTTCCTTTTGAAAACTTTCATCAAGTTCAGACCAGCAAGAGACAAAAGCTGCATTAAACAAGTCACGAGGCAGTTGAGAATATGTCTGAGCAAGAGCCAAGCAAGAGCGCAATGCTGGTGAAGGTGACTCTTTGAGAAGTCCTATACTCAATCGACGGAGCCACTCTAGCCAGTCATCTTTAGAAACTCGCCTTGTGGCTGTCCATGCTTGCTGAAGGTTAGGAGCTGATACATGTAAGCGCTTTATGGTAGTAGTGTCAGAAGAAGTTAGTGCAAGATCACGATTCTTATTTCTTGCTTGTTTATGTTTGGACTGAAGACTTTCTTCATCTGCCAAGGGCTGACCATTTAGTAGTTTGCTTGTCAAAGCTTCATATCGTGGACAACTTATTTTGTGTTTCAGTACCATTTTGCTAACTAGAGGAATAAATATGGTAAATTTTCTGTCAAGCTGGAGAATTAGAGCACAAAGAGTGTCCATAGCTGTTTGACGAAGTTCAGGATGAGTATCTAGAGTTCTAACAAGTGGATGGACAATCCGAGAGGCTAAATCAGTAAAGTCTAGAGATTCGGCCAAATGTTCAATAGATTCCATAGCAGCCCTACAGACCTAAAAAAAAGGGGGAGGGGGGTATTATTAGATACTTATAACACATACCTTATGGTTACAAATATTTAAATGGTGAATAGGGGTCATATTGATGGCCCTTGACAACAAAGTCTACTGAGAGGATGATGTGTAATGTTTATAATCAGATAACTCACCAGCAGAGGGCAATCAGTTGCATCAAACAAACGCACCATTGGAGGTAGTACTAGATGCAAGTACTCATCAAGGCTGTTGCCAAACTTTTGCAGTGCTCCGAGAAGCTAAAATATTGGGAGGTGATTATTTGATATTTCAAAACACTTTTCCATTGCATATTCTCGAAGACCAATGCTTCTTACCTTATTGGTTACAGTTCTATCTTTGCTGCTATCATGAGACAAAACCCTCATAATCTGTGGCATGAGCTGAGGTAAGTAAACTTTAAATTCAGCACCAAGAGCCACAGCTATGTGCTCTACTAAAAGAATTAACGTAGGTTGAAGGGGACTGTTAGTTGTCCAAAATTCCTATGCACAAAATAGAAAATATGAAAAATAAAGCTTGAGTGATTGGAACATTCTTAACATCTTTAAATCCAGAATATCAAAATATTTTGGAAAGAAATATAAAAGAAACTTACTCTTATTAGCACAAAAATGTCATCCAGGTAGTTTCGAATGTGCTGCTTCACAATCGCTATTAGAACTGCTAATTGTTGGAAAAGAAATTCTTTAAAGTTCATATCTGCAGATCGAATCACATTTAAGAAGCAGGGCATAACTTGAGCAATGTATGGTACGCATTTTATACCCAGAGACTTGAATATAAAAGTTACAGCCTGCGGTCAAAGAAAAGACATCTCAGTTTGGTGTAACTACCAGTAACATACACCCTCCATAGAAATTTGAACAGATAATAAGGAAATGTTAATCAGTCAAGTCAACTCTCGCTAAAGCGTTTTCACAAATTGCAGCAATTCAGGACATCATAAGTGGGAAAACAAATCGATACCTCAGAGCGAGAACCGCTCAGTATAATAGGCTTTCCTGCAGAGACTGAGCGGTTCTCGCTCTAAGGTATCGAAATGCTACCTTACATGCTGAGATTTTTTTGTAACATGTACTATGAATAATTTTTGTTTGAAAACGTAATGAAATGAGCAGAGAAACATTTTAAGTGGAAACGTTAGCGTGAGTTGTTTTATGACATTTTTGTGGTTTTTAGACATACCTGTACAACCATTGTGTGATGCTGTGACAAAGTAGGGTCACGGATAATCCTCATGAGTGAAGCAATTGCAACAGCAGGATAGTATTCCTCTAGAGTGGCAGAGCTCATGTTTACCAGCATTTCACTTGTTGTAAGTTCTGGAATAAAGATACATGTTAACATCAAAGAAGCAAAACAGCAAAAGCTAGGAGCACCACCTCAACACAAACCACTTACCATGACTAGCATCTAACTCTCCTTTGACATCTGTCATAGCTAGTAAAGCAGTTGAATCAATTTGAGAATCAATTTGGCCCAGATTCATTTTATGCTTGTATGGATCCAAGGCTCCCAATAAACCCAGAACACGAATTGTCTCTCTCCTACAACAAGTGAGATTTGGTTTTTAATTCATAAACACTAACAGAAAAATCTGATAGCCAAGCTGAGATTGAATAACAACTCTTTACCTATTGTTAGTCTGTTGTTCAGTCTTCAAGAAATTTGTAAGAACTTCTAGAAGCTGGGGGTACTCATTGTAGGGACGTACCACAAACCCAGTAGAGCTTACAACACGGCCAAGTACCCAAAGAGCAATTCCTCTTTTCTCTGGGGAAGAACTATCACCTAACATCTCTAAAAGAATTGCAAGCAATTCTTCTATCCATGGCATCATGTCGCTCCCACTCACCTAGGTAATAAAGCACAAATGAGAAAACTATTCTCTCAAGGCATGTCATAATGAATGCTAATCTTAGCTTCAGCAACTCCAAGGACAAAATTAATAACAAAAACACACATACCTCTGCCAGATCTCCTATACATCTCAGAATGCTTACAACTACCCCTGGGTTCAGATCAAGCTCTCTCAATTTTGGTACAAGGACTTTAAGAACTGGCTCCATATACGGCTCTAGAAGACGGGGTGCATGAACAACTAAATGATCCAGCATTCGTGCACTCTGTTCCTTATTTCGACCCATTCCTGAGTATTCCAGCTCAGTAAGGAACTGAAAACAAGCCATTTCAATACAAGAGGTACAAAACAAAAAAAAGTAGATAGAAAAAAGAATTAATGTACCTGCATTAAAGTCTTGCGAAGTGCAGGCATTGCATAGGCAGGGTTGAGACTACACAAACGACCAATTGTACAGATAGCCAACTCCCTTATTTCAAAAACTTCATCATTCATGGAGACAAATAGTGCACTGAGATTTTCAGCTTGAGCAAGGTGGATGTCAAAGCTAGAGTCAAGAGAGGCTAAAACCCAATAGCGCACATCAGCATCTAAACACGAAAATAGTTTGTTAGTTACAATTTGATGACATGACGAAAAGAAATAAAAAGTTTCACCCAGAAAAGACTTGACTCCTAACCTGTGTCGGTTATTCCAACAATTAGAAGATTTCTGATAACTTCAGCTACAGTGTCTCGCAAACTGTCAGAGGGTCTTTTACCACATGTCTCAAGAGCTAGCTTCAAAAGTCTGCTACATGTGCGAACAGTTTCTAATCGAATCTCTTGTTGCTCACTTGTAAGGAAATGATCCGCACAGCGACGAACAAACTGAAGCAAGGAATAGCCTAAAAAGGCAAGAAAAAAAGGCCATTATGACAGTTTTGACTGGTTGGTAAGCCAAAGGAATAACAATGATAAGGTTACTATGTTCTTTCCCTACCATCAAAGTTAAAGCTGCCAAGGGTGCGTAGTGCAAGTACAATGCTCTGTGTATCATATCCTTCAGGTGAATTGAGGTTGTAAGGTGGTGGTACATTGCTGCTTACACCACCACTACCAGATAGAGAAATGTGGCGTGGCATTCCTGGATGACGAAGCTGTTTATGCATGAGAACTTGGGACAGCATACGGAGCAAACCTAGAATAGGAGCCAGTAATCAAAAATCATCTCTATAATATAATTGATTCTGATTGAAAATTGTTATTATAATACCTTCAGATATTTCCTTCTTTAACTGTGGAACACTGACAGCCAAATTACGTAAGCAAATGTCAAGAGTAGCACTTAACCCTGTTGACCACAAAGGCTCTAGAATATCTCTGATATCTTTGTGTAAGTCTGCACCTATGGCCTCACCAAACAAAGATAGGCAAACAAGAACTGATGGTTCTAATGGTGCAAATCTCTTCTTGCTGGGAGTATCCTACCAAAAAAATAAAAGTTTTATTCAACACAAGTTGTAGCAGATAAAACAAATAGCTGAGGACACAGGAACTAAAACTGCAAAAACATTCAAAGAGGATTTTACTTTTGTGGGCAAGGAAGCTCGTATAACCTCCATTATCCTTGGTATATATTCTTTGATATCATCTTCAACTGCCACAGCCAACAGCCCTAAAGAAGTGAAGGCAGTAGATCGATCCTTCTCACGATTTCTCAAAGTATTCAGAAGATAAATAATTGAGGAGTGTAAATGACTAGAACACACAATAAAAGGAGTGCCACAGTTTAGGGTAATCAACTCTTTTCCCTTATTTTATGATCTCTCTGTAACTTAGCACTTACTCTCTGGTGAATTTTTCTCTGTTAAATGCAGCAAGACGTGGCAATATGGTCAGAAGCGAATGTTGGAGATAAGAGTTTCGTGCAAAGTGTTGCGCTTGGACAAAAAAATGACATATATCATCAAATCTTTCCATGATCAATTGGCGGCACGCTGCACTTTCATAAATAACAGAAGCTGCCGGAACACTTTCTCGATGGGGACCAAGACGGGACTTAGAGCCAACTGGTGTTTTTCGATGTAAAGTAACCAGATCAACACATTCCTGAAACAACAGAGTTGCAAGCAGATTTAAAAAATATATATTCTAATTTTGCTATCATTTACAATGTGGTAGGCTTACTTCTGTTTTGGCTTCAGGCTGACTTTGCAACTTTTCCATGAGACTGATATATTTTCTTTCCCAGGTGGCATTAGAACATCTAAACAATTCATTCAGGACAAGAAGGGATCCATGAATCCGATCCTCCCTGTTGGTGCCTCTCTCTCGAATTGAAGTGTCTTCAAAACCTTTTAAAACCTCATCAAAACATTGTTTGTACCTGGAAGGACAAAAACAGAAAAGTATTCCTCATTTAGGCTTTAACACTTAAAATAACAACAAAATGATAACGGCTGTTCCAAAATTAAAATACCATGTTGGCTTTTGTGCCTGTTTAGCCATTTCTCTTTGACTAGTAGCAATTAATGCAGCTCGTAAAGCTTCAACAGCTCCCTCACGTATGGCTGGCTTAGGATCACGAACAGCATTGAAAATTAAGTCAAAAAAAGTTTGCACTTGTTGGAAAAAGTAAGTTGGAACAGAAAGAGCTAGCTTTCGAAGAACCAAAACCTGTAATAGAAGCCAAACAGTCGTATTTTAGGCCATTTAGGCTATAAGAAGGCCACTGTAGGAATTAGGGAAATGATGTCAGTCGCGCTCACCGCTGCAAACCTCTTTCCTTCATTCCTGTCTCCACCGAGCCACTCAAATGCTCTTTTCACTTCAAATTCAAAATACTCAGCAGCATATGTGCCAGAAACCAAGGCAAGCATTCCTACAGTATGAGCTGCCAGTTCCATCACCCCTGTATCATTGGAAGGTAGTAAGTTGCGCAGGTAATTGGCAAAGCGACCAATTCGGGTATGAATGTTGCCAACATCAGCTTCAATCAAACAAACTGTTACGAGTGTAAAAATAATTTTTTAGTTAGGTACATAACATTTTATAGTAAAAAACAAAAGCACTAGCATTACAATCATACCAATTGCCAAAATTCCCCCTTTTTTCTCATTTACATCTGATCCTGAGACCATCTCAAAGATATGATCATTAAACTCGTCCATAAAGGACGCTTGTTCTTCAGCGGAGACTTCTCTTAGTTCTGTTCTTAACTGTAAAAAGTAATAATAATGAAGTAAGAAACCACACTTAAAAGCAAAATTCTCACAAGACTGCAGCATTAGAAGTCTTACATATTGAAGTAAGTCCCGAGCGGCTTTTTTCCTAGTTTCGTCACTTCGGGACTTCAACCCTTTTGCATACTGTTGCATGAGAGTGTTCGACATGATGGCGGCAAGGGTAGCTAAGGGTACAAGTACAGAATAAAATATTTAAAAAAATAACATACACAAGAGGAATAACACATATCACATTTACAAGAGAAAAACACAAACCCACCTGAGTCACAGAGATTAAAATGAAAAGAAATGTTGGAGATTTAGTTGAGAAGTAGAAAGTACCATCTTCAGTATGCAACTTTCAAGTGCATGTTCATTGCAACAAAGCCATTATACAGCATTGTTCTGGGACATAACCTCTTTGATTAAAGACTTTGACATGTTTACGTATGTAGAGGTAATGTGGATGGGAAAAAGGAAGATGGTTTCGGTGGCCATAAACCCACAAGTCTTTAGTCGCACCGAACAGCACTAAATCTGACGTAAATCAGAAAAAGCTCACTAAGCGGTTTGGAGTGAAGACTCGACGAGATCACTGATATTTAAGATTGTCATGCTACAGAAACCAACAAGCACTGACAGCTGGTTGAACTGAAAATACCAACTAACTTCTCAGAAAATGCAACCAAATCCTAGAGACAAACGGATCGATTCCGAATGAAATATGAAATATTGCTACAAATTTGGTCAAAACACGAGCAAACCTGAGCAAACGAACGTAAACATGAGTAAGGGGAAGGGAGGGGGGAGGGTTCGGTCGGTAGTAAGTGGTGTACATTGCTATTCACATTCAGTGCAAATAACCAATAGAGTCTTATACGCCAGCACATGGAGGACGTGCAAGTAGTGCAAGTGTCTCCAAACGACTGAGTTATTTATTTACTAATTTCAACCAGTTTGTCACGCTTGACGTGTTAGAAAAAAATATGACATTGCAGTTTTTATGATTAAGTTGTAACCAAATGGTCTGTTTCGAGCATTCTATTTGTTTCATACAAGCAGATAAACGATGAAACTGCCCCTAAAGCACATAACCTGAAAATGTTGAGGTACGATTAGCAACTTTCAGTGTTGTGATCGAGATGGAGCGAGTAACTGCTCCCCAGACTAAGAGAAAGATTAAAAGGGAGTCATTATCAGTAGCTAATAATGAAGCTGCTGCAAAGAAAACGGTCACGCCTAGAGAAACAGATGATATAAATGGTCCTCTGAGTAATAATAAAGACAGTGCTTGTGTTTGCCCTGAAAGCATCACTCAGATCGCTGAGTCCATTGGTATTACTAATGTTGGAGAAGAGGTTGCGTGTAGTCTGGCTGAAGATGTGTCTTATAAGATACAGGAAATCATTCATGTGAGTATTATGCCCAAAACTAGTGTTGAATGGTTAATTGATTGATGAGGTCATCAACCTGATTAAAATCTGTTTACGCACCTTGTTTTGTACGTATATTTACTATCAATGTTGCTGTCAATGGATTTCAGGAAAGTACTGTCATACTCCTATTTGTTACAGGCATCGTGTACGCTCATGCGCCAATCTAAGCGCCGAAAATTGCTCACATCTGATGTTAACTCTACTCTGAGTACAAGTAATGTCAGTCATATTTTTGGTCACCTGCAAAAGGAGGACTCGAGTTTTTTTCGTCTTCCTGAAGCTGACATTTACGTTGCTGAGGACCATGAAGTAGATTTATTAGCCACAGCAAAAAGTACTTGTGTTCCTAAAGTAAAAAAACCCTCATATGTTGCAAGTAAGTTATGATTTGACTTTAATAACTTTAAATTAAATCTCTAATGAGATTGCCACCACACTACTATGACATTTTTTTCTCCTCTTTCAACAGCCTCATATCCTATTTTACAAAGTGTTAACCCATTACCTGTTAATGGACATACTATTAAGACTGAAGGGAAATCTATATCTTTTTATTCTGGAAAGTCTTCTATGGTGAATGGTGATGTGAAGGCAGAGACCACTATTCCACACTCTCACAATCAGTCTGCACTTCAGAATTCACTTAAGAAGGAAAGAAAAATATCACCTGATAGTTTTAAGAAAAGGACTTCATCTGTGGAAAATGGACCACATTTAAAGTCAGCATTGGACACCTGTTCAAAGTTGAATGGACAAGTTAGGTTTTCATCTCATCATGGAATCCGAGAGAAGTTAAACCGAAATTCTGAAGATGAACTAATAATTTCAAAAGCTCAACTTTCATTTTTCAATGTCATAGCTAAATCAGTTATTGGTGGACACCATTACCTATTTCAGGTAAAGTTAATATGACTAGGACCATTATGTTATGTATATTGTTTTCAGTTTAAAAATATAATTTGCTAATTTTTTAGATTATGGAGTGAAGCATCTCTATAATGTAGTTTTCTCATGATTTTCAGGAAGTGCTTTCCACATTGCGCCAGAGTAGAAAAGCAAATACTGTATCAGCTCCTCTTCTGAATTTTGTCGCACTATCTGTGTGCCACATTCCACGGCACTTTGGATTTCTATCCAGACTGTTAGATGTAGTTGATGTCTTGCTTAGAAACAGAAATATTTGCCCCACTCACTCTATAGCTGTAAGTATTTTTAGCACATTTTCTCCTCGAAATCAAAAATATAGGCGCCAGTATTTAAACCTTATCAAATTTCTCCAAAACATTTCAGGTTAATCGTCTAGTAAATGCTCTTTTAGCAATTTCTGCTGATCAAACAGTTCTTAAAGGCAAGAATGATTTTTTATTAAGAAAGAAATCTGCACAACTATTGACAAGAGTATGTAATCTATTAATAAGCTCTCTGTTGTTTTGGTGTTTTTTTCCCATTGATGCTCTTATTTTATTTTTAACCCGTTACAGGTTTTACTTGTTTGGGGTATAGAAGAACAGCATGTTTCTGAGCTTTTGTCAAGAGTAGCTCGTGTACTTGGTGATGGTAAAGAAAAAATACAAAGCCACTATGGAGCACTTGTAATTTTTCAGAGCTTAGGAAAAGCAGCAATTGGATGGCTGTCACCCATACTTAAGTGCTTTTTACCACTCATGGACAAGAGATATCCTCTTACTTCCAAATCCTCCAACAACCAGTTAGAAGAAATTCGTGGTATACTTCTGGTAAGGCCAAACTGCAGGTGACTTAATAATCTAATCTAATAATTATTTTAAAATTAATAGGAACATTTCTCTTTTTGTTTTATCTTCCAGGATGTTGTTGAAATATTATACTGTGATGAAAATCCATACCGGTTCAAGACAAAAGCTTCAACTGTTCAAGAAACACAAGCTATGATACACCTTGATACATTACTTTACCAGTACTGTGGGGATGCTGTCTGTGCCAGACGCCGAATATCTCCTCTTATACTTCAGCAACTAGAAGCCAGGATTAAACGTTCTGAAGGACTTCAGCAAGCATACTTTGAGGCAAATCTGATGCCTCATATTTCCAATCGTCTAGATTTTCGGCATTTAAGTGACTGTTCTCGGAAACAAACAAAAATGTGTTCTATATCCGAAGTTTTTGAAGAAACATTTGTTGTGCCTATTGCTAGAAGAAAAGACATTCTGTTTAAATTTGCTGGTGCAAATCCAGTACCTAAAGATGGTCTGAGAAAAAAAATTCTTGGAAAGACTCTTGTTCAGTTTAATTCCATTAATAGCAACCAAAACTCTACAGTATCACCCCAGAAACTGGTTTTAGTTGGCCGTATACATCGTAGCAAATGTAAACCAGTCAAGAAGCAACTGAATGTTAACAGCCTTTACACTGTTCTTTAGGATTCACTGTTGAGTACAAAACATTTTCTGAAGGTGTTTTGTGGTGTGTAATATAAGTCTTTCACTTTGATTTTTTTTTCTTGAATAAGAATTTAGTAGTTCAGTATCATGAACATGAAGTTAATTTTTTACTCCCCGTAACAGATTTTATCTGGTTCATTATTGTAACTTTTTCTTTTATTTTTTTTCTGATTTGGGATAAGTTTGCTGTCTAGGATGACTTCTATTTGGCCATCTACTCATTCAACCCATTTTGAAATATGTGTTCTCTTATTTTTATACAGTAACAATAATACACTAGTCAAATTTCCTTAACATGCATTATCCACTTATTGGTTGAAGTGCAATGTTATGGAGACATTTTGGAATTACAACTTCAATTCAAAATGATGCTCAGAGTTATGAGAATATTTTATTAAGGAAGATAAACTGTTTATGTCACTGTTATCAACACTTGTTAAAAAGCATTTTGTAAGATTGACATTCACCAAATGTACAAGATATTTTTTAAACTGGTGTGGGTAATGGAGCCTTGTGAAACTGCATGTGCAATTTGAGTAGTGTAACCTTATTGCAGTATGTACTTATTTTCATAGAAAATATGTAAAACCTTTATATTTTAAGATGTTCCTATAATACGTTTTAACCAAATGGCCATATAGTTCTGCAGAATTTTTCAATTACATTATTTTGAACACTTAATCCTTAAATTATTTTGTCAAACTGCTTTACATTTTTTAAAATGATTCTTAATTGCATGTTACATTTTTAGGACAGAAGTCTTTGTATCTTAGACAAGAAAGTTCTCCTTCCTGGTCCAAAGGAAATATATCCTTGGCCCTTATACAAATTTACATGTTGCCAAACTGAGCACTCAAGAGACTTAGCCTCCATTTTGTCAACAAAAATTATGCCCTGCAGGTGATCAATTTCATGCTGGATAGCTCTTGCTTCAAACCCACTTGCTTTCCAAGTTTCTTTGACTCCTTTTTCATTGAGTGCTGAAACACAGAAAATTACAGACTTACACAGGTGCCCAAGTCAGCATAGAGAAATTTCAAATTTTGTCTCACCTTCTACTTGAATATGTGCAAATCGAGATACTTCAGCACTATAGCCACACACACTTGCGCAACCCTCTGATTCAGTAACTTTAATGTTGTGATCCAAAACTTTAAATTTTGGATTAATCAGCACCTAGATTTGAAAAACCTTCTGTGAATTAAAACATTTAATTAAGGAAGTAAAATAAATGAAATTAAACAGCATCTTACCCTGTGAGGAATTGGTGCTATATATTTGGAGTCCCGTTCTTTGCATTGTGCTTCAGTAAAGCCGATTACTGCTACTTGTAACGGTAATCCTATTTGTGGCGCTGACAGTCCAAGAATTTCATGGGTTCTATGCAGCTCCCACATGTGAGCGATCATCTAAAGAGGGGTTCCACATATTAATAGACCATCAATGGTAACTAGAAAAGGTTACACCGTAGGGCAAAATCCAATAACTGCCATCCATTTTTTATTTACAAATTTTCTTACATCTTGGAAACCTGGAGTGTTAATGAGACTTTCATCAACCACATCGCATGGTTGTCTCAGAATGGGATCACCAATCTGGCAGATAAAATTATAAGGCGGCTTCGGAAAACTTGGGTTGAAAAAGTCTTGATATCGTTGGGTCAACGTCTTTTTCGCGGCATATCTCCTGGAAATTTGTGACATAGTGTTAACAGTGCAACACTTTGTCACAAAAGTGGAAGATAACACTTTCCCGAGCATCTTTGGTGCGGATGGTCCTTCTCATCAAATAAGAAACGGACGCCAAAATGTGAGGAAGGTCTGCTCTAACGTGTCATTTTTCAGTTATTTTAGAATGTAAGTTAAATCTACCCTCAAAGGACAGAGAACATAACCCGACGTCAAAACAAGAGCAGAAGCATGAGACCTAGCGCACACGGGAGACATCTCAGCGGGTGACGTCAAAAGAGCTCCAAGCTCCCACCATTCAACTGTTTCCACCGCGAAAGTTCGAAAGTTCACGCTTGTTGTTGTTTGTAGGGACCTTGAGTACTTGAGGACTCTAGTTGTTTGAACTTGTTTGGTGGACGTGGTGAGTGTAGGTCAGTGCATCAGCTTGGAGAGGAGAGTAACTTAACTAGTGAGTATTCAATGGCTTCGGCCAAGGCACTAAGATTTGACCGAAAATGTGTTTCTCTCGAAAGCAAGGGCCACTTTTCTACAGCATTGAGTTTTGTGGTAGGTGCCTCGTGTTGATGTGAGGCCACGTTGGGGTACGTCAAATCGCAATTTTTTTTGTGTATATTTCTTTTTACACTGTGTAATAAGAATGATGTGCTGGGATTATATATAAGTGAAATCATTGTCAGTAATAATACAGGAGCAAATAAAGTACTCACATTACGATAATTGCATCTCCACCAAGTGCAGCAGAAATGCGAGGGCGTGTATTGAGAGAAACATTACAAATGACATTCAATTGGTCAGCGGATTACAACAGTAGTAGGTATCAGAACAGAGAGAAGGTTTGTCCACCCGCCATCAGCCCGAGCACCACGATCAGCGGGAGCAGGGCCGGCGAGGGGGCGGTGCGGCCCGGGGCCGCATCAGGGGCGGCGGGTGCGGCGGGGACGGGGGCGGGCCCCAGGTCCACGCCATGCAGGGCTGCCAGCAGCAGGCTGACCTGAACGCGCGCCGCGCTCTGCTCGAAGAGCCCCGCCAGGCGCCCGGCCTCCTCGTAGCAGCGGAGCACGGCGTCGGACGAGTCGTCGGGGTGCAGCAGCAGCAGCAGCTGGTCCGGCCCCATCAAGTACCCGAGCACCGTGCACGGCTCCAGCACCTGCACAAGCACACGTTACCGGGTTGTGTGCGGCGCAAAAAAAAAAAAAAAGAGGAAGGATGTCCCAGTGTCCGAAGCCTTTCGGGAACGCCATACATTGGGGCCCACAGTGAGGGTCACGTCGCCCTGTGGGACCCACGGTGACCCACGGTGTGGGTCTCAACCCAACGCGCTCAACGTGTTGCAGATCTCACAGAGAAAGCGGGTCCAGAACGCATCAAATAACAAACCCGATCCAGCCCCTCACTAAACGCTTGATGGGCAGGCAACACAACTGGAAAAACAAAGGTGCTAACTCCTACCTTTAAAAGGTACTAACGGATTAGTGCCTTTACAAAGGCTCTAAAACTGCCAAAAGCTCTAAAATTTCCAAAGGCACTCATTTTCAGCACCCTGCCCTGTTTAGTGCCTTTGTGAGGCACTCAACTAAAAATGTGTTAAGTGCCCCATAGAAAAGGCATGACTTAGCACCTTTGTTTTACCAGTGACTCCGTACTTTGTGCCTGTCAGCAGGCACGGTCTAGGATCTGAAAAATCTCAAATCACAGAGAAAAGCAAGGGTGACGTAGACGTAGAACACCAAATTAATTTCGTGCTAAGGAATAGACTCGTTCTTTGAATTAAGTTATCGCTATTAGATCATTGAAAAGATAAAAATGCGTCTATCATCTGCACTGCAAAAAATAATAACAGAAAAATGACGGTTAGACCGATACCCGCTAAATTTAATTCGTTGTTTTCCGATTTTTGAACGTCGCTGGGTACGGACTGACCATACCTCCTTTTGAGTGCTACGCTGTCGGAAAACGGTTCTTCCGTTCCGCTTTTTGGAGGTACGGTGAGGCCGTTTAACATGTTAAAACTGCAGCTCCATGGTAAAAACTCAGTGTGTAGTGTACGGTCTCTCCGCACTCTTTGCTCCGTATCATGTTTCAGTTTGGCACATACGGTCCACCGTACCTGGCACCTATCCGTCTCTAATTTTTTACAGTGTGCTCTGTTATGAAATTGCCAAGTAAAGCCAATGCATGAATTGTCTCATAGCGCGCCTGCTAGGTAGGCAGCACCTCGCCTGCTGTGCATGCGTGTACTGCGGGTTGGCCTACCCCGAGTATCACAGGCGCTCAGCCCCACCGTTAAGAACTTTCCCAGAAAGTTCTACCCTTACACGGTGCAGCGAGCTATCAACGCCGAGGTGCAGAGACTGGGTTTCCTTTCCGTACTGGCAGTGCGCCGGCCAGGGGATGCGCGCGCAGGTCGATGGCAGGATGCGGTTTGGAGCAGGGAGGGGGGGGGGGGGGGATAAGGACTCCGTGCACTTGACACGAGGGCCACTAACTTGACCCTTTCGCGTACCAAATGCCAGTGCTGGCGAAATAAACTAAATTGTTTATTGTACTGATAACTCTCGTTTGGTGGGTAAAACTCAAACGGAAAGAATTGTGATTTTTAAAAAATATGTATTTAATTTGTCGTACCTGCTGCTGCAGCTGCCCCAGCAAGGCCTGCAGGCTGAAGACGGCGTGGAGGCGCGGCCAAGGCGCTCGCAGCCTCTGCAACCCGAGCACCGCCCTGTCCACGGCCTTGACGTTGAGCGAGGCACGCAGCACGGAGGCGCAGGTCTCGCAGCACGCCACGCGCACGCCGCGCACGCAGCCGGCCGGGAGCGGCGGGCAGCGGGCGCTCGGCGGGCAGGAGGAGGACGCCGCCGACCTGGGCACGCAGGCGCCGGGGTAGTCGACGGGCGCGCGCGCCGCCAGCGCTGCCCCGGCCGACGGGTACGTGGAGCCGTCCGCGCCGCACACCGAACCCCTGGCGACAGTGCAAAGGACAATAAAAGGACAAGAAAAAGGACAAGAAAAAATACAATTCAAATGACATTGTCATTATGACATTCGATGACATTTGAAAGGGCGAGAAGAAAAAATGCAATTCAAACAGACAAACAATCTCATTTTTACTGCCGACAACAATTTGTTGTGTATTACTCTACTCACCCGTCTCCGGCGCACGGGCCCGCGTGGCGCGGGGCAGCGCCGGCCGCGGCCAGCGCACACAGGTCGTGGTGGGTCCTCCCCTCCGTGTCGCACACCCTGGGCGTGGTGGCCGCCTCCCCGCCGCCGGCCCCACACCTCCGCAGGTCCACTGCAGGCAAAACGACCGTCAGTGGGGCTCGTGGGCTGCTGCATGAGGGCTGTCAAACGAACGCGTGTAAGAAGCCCCACTGCTGCCCTTCTCCTCTTTTCCTGATATTCACAAATACTGCATGTGCCGCGTCGATTGATGTGGCCAGTTAGACAGCACCATACACCCAGAAAATGGTATCCTTAAACCAAGGATTTTTCTTTAAAAAAAATTACAAGGTAATTTTTGACCTTGGTTTAAGGTTTTTCCATTAACTTCAAGGAAATTAAGTTGGTCTAAGGAAATTTTTACTTTATTTTAACGTCATTTG